CTAAAGAAATGTTTATCCAAACATTAAAAGAGATCCTTGCTAATTAAATTACTCTTATAACCTTGTTATAAGAAGTGTAAGCTGACCCTTACATATATTTTTACCTGATTTGCTGAAATGTGATTGAATGTGTCTAAAAAATAATCATAAATAACATTAAAAGGTTGATGATAGTAAGATTGCTAAATTGTATCTTTTTAATTTATTTGTTAGGTTAAATGAGTTCTAAATACATATCATTTCTATTTTTTCTGAATAATGCTATTTAACATTATTTCAATACATCTTGAAGGAGTCTGACCACTTTGCAATAAAATAAAGAGAAGAAATTCCTTACATTTTAATATTTTCTCTGTAAAAGTGGCAGCTCAGAGTTAAAGTTTTAAAACAAATGTTTTTCTAAAACTTATCAAATTCCTTAAACAAACATTTCTTCTGTCTTTATGTAATAAAACATCCAGCTTGATGAGAACATTTGAACACGTCATCATGCTGAGTCACACTATTGGTTTTTGTAAAACTTTGTCTTCTGGTTTTTAATAAGCTCTATGTTTCTGTAAAGTTACTGTAAATGTTTATTTTTAGATGTTGAAAAAAGTAAGTCCTGTGCCACTCCACTTCATCCAGCAGCCCTCCAAGTTGTCATGACTGCAGGTGTTTTTAACTGCAGACTTACAAGCAGATTTAACCTGAGGCAGGTGTCCATTTAGGGAAAGGAAATTAAATGTGTGTGTGTCCTTCTTTTCTACCTCCAATTTGAGTGTTTCCATACTTTTTTCCTCAGAACTGAGTGATTCCATATTTTTTTCCTGTGCTTGGTCAATAAAAGTAACATTCACTGACTTCCACAATGTTTTCTCTTCATTTCTTTGAGTGTTCCTGRAAGCCAACAAGTTGCACTTTGGAATGACCTTATTATTGTATCATGTTTTTATTCTGAGTTTGTTTTACAGAATGAAATGTCTGAATGAGTGCTCATCCAAGACTGGTGATTCCAGACTTGTTGCCAGGGGTTGTAAAACAATTCACCTGATAAACATCCTCAGTGGAAGAACCGGTCAGCAGGACCAACTGGTTTTTCCACTCCTTCCTGTCTGAGTGGCACTGATGCCAGCTCTGCTGTCCCAGGAAGCCTCAGAGTCAGAACCAGAGCCTGAAGGTCCGGTCCTCGTARGATCCTAAACCCCAAGTTCAGCTACTATTCAGGACTTAGAAATTCCCTCAGCTCAGATCCAGTCTTAGACATAATGTGTATATCATTTTACACTCTAATCTGCCCCCAACACACACACACACATTGGTTCTTCTGTCCTCATGGGGACTTTGCATTGACTTTCATTCATTTACCGGTCATTTCTACAGTCCCTGACCTCTGACTCTGAACCTGACCCCACCAGTACATACCTGATCCTAAACCTAACTCCTGACCAACAACGTTTCCCCCAATGGGGACTGGAAATTTGTCCCCATAAGGAACAGTGGGTCCTCATCAGGTGGTGTGTACCAGGAAAATAGTTAAAAATCATGTCCAACAGGTGGTAAACACATGTACACACACACTTCTTCCTGAAACTGACTTACCTGAACCTTCCTGAAACCTAAACACACCACACCCAGAAACTACACCTGAAACCATCCAACCCTGACACACACACACGTCTGGTTTTTATATCCCCGTAGGGACCGCGGATTGACTTCCATTCATTTTATAGAAATTTTATAGCCTAATCCTGACCATCTACCCTAAAATTAACCTAAACTAATTTCACACCATGGTCCTAAACCTAATCCCCCACCTGTAATTTGCATTTGTACCCGTGGGGACCTGGCATTGGTCTCCATGATGCACGTTTGGTCCCCACGAGGCTGCTTTTTTTTTAAAATGGTTCTCACGATGTATGAAAAGCATGTCCACACACACACACACACACACACACACACACACACACACACACCCTTGTAC